CAGGGGTCCCAAAATTTACAGCCTCATTTCCTTTCCCTCTGCTTTACACAGTATTCAGATATCTTTGCACTCATCAGCGTGAGAGAGAGTTTGTTTTTATTATAAACATTTTATGTGATGTTTAATTTCCTCACTTATGTTGTGTTTAATGGTTGTCATTTCAAAACTAAAACAAGCCATTTCTGTCAGCGCCGGACGACCCAGCAGTTTGTTAGAGATGGGGTTTCTTTTTTTGTTTGCTAAGCACGCTGAAAGATAACACGAGTAATGTTCCATGTCCAAAGGTGGTGATGACAGCTGTAGGAATCCCCCCTGGAAGTTCCTCCTTCATTCTCATTGGTCTGTTAGTTACAGGTCTGAGGTGAAGGCAAGGCAAGATGTTAAACCAGACATCCGACAGCCACCATTCACAGACTACCGACAGCCGCCGGTGGACTACCGGCACCCTCCTGTGGCAGACTATCGGCAGCCGCCCACGTTGGATTACAGACACCCGCCTCTGCTGGACTATCGACAGCTAGCTACAGATGCTAGACAATTTGCCATCCCAGAGTACCGAATGCCACCAGTTCAAGTAAGGAAGGACTTTGCCTTGAGGATGAGAGTGACTCATCCTTCAACAGACTCTTTTCTGAAGGTCCAATCATACAGGATTGTCAATACGAACATTGATATTTGAAATCTAGGACATAATCATATCCTATCAGTCCCCTACAGCTCTACGGAGCCTTTTTAGTATCTGTTAACTCTTTTTCTTTAAATTTTATCTCTGCTATCTGTGCACAAATCCAATTAAGAGCCAGACATGAGTTGGTGAAAACCTAAAACTGAGCACAGCGTTGGTTCAGGCAGGTCACAAAGTTGAGCTCAGCCTGCAATCCTGCATGATCAGCTGATGACAGCTGAGCTCAGTGCCAGCTTACAGGAGCTAATGGCTCAGCTGGTACCCTTCTACACATCCAACTGACAAATCTTATGCCTGCCTACAGATGCAAGTCATTTTGCGGCACACTTACAACACAGCTCCTACTTTTCATGCTGCATATCGGTTCTCTGTGCTCCGTTATGTATGGACTGTCTTCCTGCTGCTGTTTGCACTAATACAAACTCCTCCATAGAAGGGAAATGGGCTCCCAGCACAGAGCTGTACCACCACTTATAAATTATTGCAGGTGTAAAGAAACCTTCCTTCTCCTCACTGAGCAGATTAAAGGAGAGCGATAAATGGACTTAAAGTTGTATGGTGGCCATAAATATGACAAAAAATTGCCAATATTTCACCAATGATATTTTGGATGTGTAAATAAGAAACTACTTCCTAAGAAGTAAACTTAAAATTTGAGCTGTATATCAACCTTGTGTTCACAGCTCAGCTGCCAGTGGCCAATAAATGTATAAATACTTCTAAATTTGGTTGGTGATCAGGGACATGTGGGTATTTGCTGAGAGGAACATTTTAAAGTTACAAATTTTGGGTCTAAAATAATGTTTTAGGGCTGACATGGTAAGAAAGCTGTTACGTGGCACTGAATTACCTCAAACAAATTTTTAATTGCACAGTCTTTTGTACAATAATGTAGTAAAATATATTTCCAGAGAGATTGTTTTGCTATTATATTCTAAGCTTATTTCTAGATATTTTGAGTTTTTGTATAAATTATAAAACCTTTGTTTTTCTATTTAAAGCTGGTTTTGTCTGTCAAAGTAAATGCCGTGTTATTTCTCAAAACCTCATGTATTGAAACTAAAGTTTTGGACTTATTAGCACCTCCCCCATTGCTTTTGCTCCATTCTCCTTCAAAAAATGTATTATTGGAGACAATTTTCTGCAATCATTGTCTGTTTTGTGCTCGAGTACGACTGCATCTGATCATGCGTGATCTCTGCTTGTCTCAGCTTACACAGGACTTCGACTTCTTCACAGTGGAGCTGGAGAAGAGCGTGAAGGGCTTCGGTTTTAGCATCCGTGGAGGGCGGGAGTACAAAATGGACCTCTTTGTCCTACGACTCGCAGAGGACGGACCGGCCATTCGCAACGGGAGGATGAGGGTAGGGTTTGATGACATCATTTCCTTTAAGAAAGCGATTACCCCGTCGTTAAAAGTTAAGCTGCTTTCAATCTTTGCTGCATTACACGGTGTTGTCTGTAATTGTCTGATGTTATCAACGCAGCAACTGCAACTTTTTTTTGTGCCAGCTAAGAAATAATCTGTCAAAATAACTTATGAGATGGTTTGTCCTTCTGATGCTGATCGCAAGTTTGCCTCCTCCCAAATTCCCAGAACCTTATGTTTAGCATCAGGTGATATTCAGCAGGTTAAAGACAGATTTAATCATTTAATGGGGCCATCATGATGTCATGTGTTCGATGGTCTCCACAGCTACACAGTTATCCTTTTAGTTGGAAAAAACAAAGAAACACACACATTTTCTGAATTACATATATATGTAATAACAATAAATCCAGTGGAAATGAAAATAAAACCCTTCCACTTCCCCAGCAGCTTTTCTGTCTTTGACGTTTCCCTCAGTCCTGTTTTCTTTTTCTTGCATGTCCTCCGATTTTTACGTCTGCGGCTGATAGCCTCAGTATGCACTACAGTGCTTATCTGTAATGAACCTGTCAAAGATAATGGTGTAAAATGCCCCTGAGGGAGATATTACTTTTCCTTTTCTGTGTTGTAATCGTTGTAGTCCAGTGGCTCCAGACGGACGTGGAAAAGGAAGTAGGAATACTTGTGGAGCTTTACTTAAAATCAGTAAACAAACTGCTGTGAAGTAGTGATAGTTCCTTTTTTAAGTATTTAGTAATAAACAAAGAAAGTGAGAAAGAAAAAGTCAAACTGATTACCAGTAAAGTTTCTGGACATAAAAAAACTCCTATGACAGGTTTCATGTTGTACCAATTAACTGATGTAGCAGTCTACTACAGTAATTTACATTTTAAGTTGGAAAGAGCTGCATTCAGTTCTCATTAAACATGGAAGTAACTAACACATTAGTTTAGAGTGCTTTGTTGAAGCCTCAAGTTGAGTATTTTGAAGTAGATGTGGACGAGTGACGTGTGGATCTGACAAACAAAAAAAAGGACAAGTTCACATGAATAACTGTGTGTCAGTGAGAAGGTAGGCGCGCCCTAAAGCAAACCCTGGTTTGATTGATTTTTTTGACTCTAACTGGAGCCACGCTTTGCACAATTAAATCTATTTATTAAATACTCGAAACAAAAACAATACCATGTTCAAAGTCATTTAAATCCCCTTTCTTGCCCATTCTGATGACCATTCAAGCAGGTTGCCTTGATCGTGTCTGCATACTTCAATACACTGAGTCGGTGCCATGTGATTGGCTGATTGGATATTTCGGTTAAAAAGCAGTTGAACAGGTGTACATAATAAACTGGTTAGTTTCAGTTGTTACCAAATAAAGAAAAATATAAAATGTACAAAACGGAAGTTTTACAAACACGTGGGCACCTATGTGGTCACCCTCTCGGGTTAATTCTGAACTGTAAAGTTTTCTTTTGTGTCCAAATGACATGTACTGTGTAAAATAAGTAAATAAAGCCAATGCCTCAGGATTTTACTTAAGTAGACGCATGTATGCGCTTCAAAATTGTCACCGCTGATTGATCAAACAGTGTAAGCCGTGTGATCCCTCCTCCAGCAATCCACGATCCACACCGCTGCATGCGGCGAGGAATCAATCTGCATTTAACTTGAGCAAATGCGAGACAGTAGTTAAAAAGCATGGCTGTCACTGTGGATTTGAGTGGCGCTTTAACACATACTCAGGTGTGGAAACCAAAAAGCCCACATGCTCTGTGACTCCCTGCAGTCACTCTGACATTTTGAGTTTGAGCCAAGTAGTTTCTACTCAACAGGCTCTTGCAAGCAAAATAATCAGCAACAAGGAGCGCTTACAATTTCTAACAGGTTTGTTTTTTTTAGGTTAAATGTCACTGTAGGTGCTGTTAAGAAAATTGTATGAAGTGATTGATTTTTACAGATAATCATTCAGCACATTTAATTACTTCTCCGAGCTTCGCTCCCATCTCGTGCTTTTTGAGCTCACGTGCTGTCCATTCAGCTTTCTTTCCTTCTTTATTAAAGATGAAAATGGAGATCACTCTCTGCTGCTGTTAGAGGCCGAGGATTAATGAGAACAGTCTTGGCTTCCACCTCTTCAGACCACTGTAATGACACGTAATGACTCCCCATCTCTTGACTCTAGTCCACTCCTAACTTTAAAATTACCCTCCTACCATTACTGGGAGACTTCTCCATTTGTTAGTGTAATTGGCTCAGCACGTTTTGTCCTGTTCCTCATGATTTCTCCCATTAGTGAACCTCAGGGCCCTCACATGAAGGGCTTTGAAGTGTTTCATATTTGAGCCATCCTCACATACACCAGGGAGTGGTCACATAAAGAAGGGATAGGCCTGGGAATATTGACTTTCGTTTTTAGCTGAGCTGCTGCTGTTATGATTGTTTTATACACTTAACAACCAGTGTATTATGTATTCCTCTTCAACTGCTTATTAACACCTCATTAACACAGATATCTAAACAACCAATCAGATGGCAGCAGCCCAATGCATTTAGTTATATAGACATGATCAAAACAAGTCTAAAACAACCTTGGTTCTAGCTCCTGCTGGTGGTGGTGGTGGTGTAATGACCACAGTGTCCCCAGCAGTAACCAGATAACACACCATGTCACAAAGCTCAAATCATCTCAAACTGGTTTCTTGAATATGAAACTGTACTCAAATGGCCTCCACAGGCACCAGATCTCAAGCGACTATAGCACATTTGGATGTAGTGGAACGGGAAAGTCACATAATGGATGTGCATTCAACAAACCTGCAGCAGCTGTGTGATACAGCTGTCTTAATAAGGATCAAAATCTGTGGAGAATGTTTCCAGTACCTTAAAACAGCTCTGAAGGCAAAAGTTCAGAAATCCAATCCAGTACTATTAAGGCGTAACTAATAAAGGGGCCAGTGATTGTAGATCTGTATTAATCCTTATAAACGCACAAGGAAACATTTCATACAAATAGCAAGGGTCATCTAATCATTTAGATTTATCTGCTCCATTCCTACTGCTTTGTTTTGGATTGATTGAGGGCAGTTTGGTTTTCCCTTCAGTGGTCAATGAGCTTTATTGATAGTCCGTCTAATCGATGCACACAGCTTCAGACTTCTTCCAGTGGTTGCTGTATTTGGCTGTTCTGAACACAGCCAGTAAAGTATTTATCGATCACAGAACAAAGCTGCCCTAAGTTCATGGCTTCTTTCATTCAAACAGAAGCATGTTGACAGTTTCTAGACTGCGTTTGATTTATTCAATTATATTATAGGTGTAGTTGTTACCTTTGTGAGGCCTATGTCTTCTTCGTCTATTAGAAGTAGCCTAACACTACACTGTTTGATGACTGTAACTAATTTAATGTTCTATGTAATTTTGTTACATTGGTACAATGCAAAATGGTTAATTTAATGGAATCTGATCAAATCAGATTTACTTCACTGATATACATTTAGTTTATACAAAGCATATTTTTCAATGACAAATCATTTCAATGAATGCCTTTGATTTTATATGTTTCAGTTGAATTTTACTCTAAATTACTGCTTCATGTTTATTGATGTTGAAGAGTCATTTCCGAGTGTATGTCATGAAGAAAAATTAAATGACTTGTAAAAAATTGGAAGAAGACAAAAAAGGGCATGATCTGAAAGCAAGGATGGAAAATAAATGTTGTGTATGAATGTTCTGGTCTGTTGTACAGCAAAGATGATGCAAACAATTTAATAACAAGAGACCAAGCAACCCCAAAAGTAGGAAAATAGGGCTATATATCAGACTTGCTTTTTGGTGGCTCACAGTTACATCCGTGATGTGTCATGTGTGTATCCCTAAAATGTCACTAATCAAATAAAGGCAAAAATGCCTAAAAGCACTATTTAAAAAACATCCATACGTTTAATCTAAAGCAAACAAACCCCAGTCTACAATCCAGAAAGATTTTGCTTAGCTTTGGTTTAGATTTAGTATGTGACCAAAAGCTGCAAGCATATTGTTATACCTAAAATGTCTTATTGATTTGACCTTGCAAGGAAAGTACAAACAGACTTCTCAGCTTCTTTCTTTGTTTTCTTTGCAAACTTCCTGACATGCAGGTTGGGGACCAGATCATTGAGATCAATGGAGAGAGCACTCGGGACATGACCCATGCTAGGGCTATCGAGCTCATCAAGTCTGGGGGCAGGCGGGTTCGTCTCCTCCTAAAGAGGGGTACAGGGCAGGTCCCAGAGTACGGTAAGGTTCTACACTTTAAATTATTTGTCTCTCAGATCATTTCTTTCTTAACACGTAGTATTTTTTTCACTGTTAATCTAGTATCACATCAACTCTGAGTAATATTAATCTGACATGCATTTTTATTCATATTGTATCTTCTGCCTCTGTAGCCGTCATCCTTTTGTATTTAATCTCTTAGTTCTGTATTTCACTGTTGCTGTAAACTAATTGTCTCTTCTGTCTTAACTAACACTAGTTTATCTTCTGTCCATTTCAGTGATCTATCACTAATTGATTGGTCTAGGTTGTTACTTCCCCTTCTATAGGAATGGTATCTTCCAGTCTCTCCATGTGCATGAAAAGTGACAAGCATGGCTCCCCCTATTTCTTCCTAACGGGCCACTCTAAAGACACGGTTTGTGACCATACGAATGTTTCTTTCTCTTCACTTAACCCTGGCTTTCTGTGCTTTGGTATTGTGCATTGTTTTCACATCAAAACTTGTTTTATAACTTTGAAAAGCCCCAAACTCTTGAAGATTTTGCTTTTCTTTTCTTTCTTTCTTTTTTTTGCTCCAGGAGTAATCAACAAAAATCACACCAAGCTGCAGGAGGTTCTAAAATTAGTGAACATAACTCTGTTCCCGACTGAAAGATAAATCAGCCACCAACAGCTACCTACGGGCTCAAAAATAAAGCTATATGAGCGTGCATCCTGAGCCAGCCAGGGGAAACGAACGTGAAATATTACAGCAGATTATTTATCCAGTAAAGTTTCAGCGCAGCATGAATTGAGCCTGGAAGGGGACATTTATTTGTATGACACTGCGGGCAATAAAACTCCAATGCGTCACTCACTCCTGTGGCTTCTGCGTCAGCATGATGCTCACTTATCTGTTAACCCCCCTCTCTGTGAGGCTTATTCATCAACAACTGGCCTTGGTGGTCACCCCTGTCTCTCCCCCATGTCTGCCCTTCTCTGCTAGTCCCCTTCCAGCCCAGGTTTTAATCTCTCTGTGTGGAGAGCTTTTTTTACTACTTGCCTTGAGCTACAATCTTGAAATATGCACACAAGGAGTCCCGGTGTGGTCAGCCAGACAACACGGCACCCTATCTGTAGATAGCTACTGTTATCCGAGTTCCCCTGCAGCCTAGAAGCAACATTTTTTAACCCACATGGCCTAATCTGCGTGGGTTTGATTCAGCATTTAATCATTCCTAGTTTACAAGCACTTTATTTGCATACTGGAAGGTTATTCAAATCACGCGCAGTGATTAATTTGCCTATTTAAAGCATTAGCATACTAATGTTCAAAGGAGCGAGCTATTTTTGTTTCGGGTTGCTGTGAGATTTTTAAGGGTTATGCAAAATAAAGCACCAAAAATCAAGAGTATAAACTGTGTGATGTAGCTGTGAGTATGAGCACAAATGTTATTTTGTGTTCATCTGCGTGGCGTTGAGATATGGAGTGCGCCCTTTCTAAGGGTGTGGGTTTATCAAATTTATCAAAACTTACACTTAAGCTTGCTACTTAGGTGGTCAAACTTATTTGCTACTTTTAGTAAAGGAACATGAAAGCAAACTATGTAAAAACTGTAAACCCTCACACTAACTGCTCAGCACTAAACTGTAGACCTCAGCATTATATTTTGCTTCCAAGGACCCAGATGTTTAAAGTGGTCTTGAGCAGTAGTTCTCCGCTTTCTAAAGGTCTTTTATCATTCATTTTCATTCCCGTCCTTTCGGGGGAATGTTTTATTTGTTTGTTTTGCCCTTAACACTGACTCATTCTAGCATTAAAAGGCATCTAACTCAAGGGATGAATCAGTGTTGTGTCTACACAGAACAGACTTTGTGAAGATCCAGTTTTAAATTGTAACTTTTGTTACTACCGGCCTGTCAGAAAAACATGATTTGTTGCGATTTCTTTAGCTAAATCGACCAAAACAAAAAGCCAAAATACCACAATTTCACAGGCATAGAACAGTATTACAAGGTTCAAAACTTGGCATATTTCTGCATGGTGTGCAGCGTATTCTTAAAAGATTTGAGGTCAAGTCAAGGACAAAAGAATAAATGGCACGCTTAAAAAACCGTCTACAGTAGATGCACAGCATTTGAAATCATGTCCTTAAGAAAGAAGATAAAAGACCTGACACAGGACCTGACAGATGCATCTGTCCCTTCAGTTGATGGTCTTATGGAATTATAAAATTTGGGGGTTAAAATAATTGTTGACAAGTGTGGAAAATTCCACGAGAGGTATAGCAGTGAGTGTCTGCAGAAGTCATACATTGTAGGCTCTGTCATGTTTTTTTAAGTTGGTATTTTTGTATGTATTTGGTATTTCCCCATTGCATTCCTCCCCTATTTATTTCACCCCAAAATCTTTTGTAAACACAAAAAATGTGTGGAAGTGAAAGTACTGTCACTGAAAGTGTTTTTAAATACATTTATTAATTAATTATAGTTTTTGTGTATTGAGTCAGAGAAGTGATCTTTGGCAGTATCTGACCTCTATCTGATTCTGCTAAAAATAAGCTTTTATAATTTTAGATGATTTTGATCAGCCAGATCTAGGTATTTATTTTGTAATGTGCTAAAGTGACTCAGCTGAAATTTAGGGAGATTAAGTGATCCGACATCATAACCAGCATACTGTAGGTAAAACACTGTGAAGCTCCAGTTTGCTCAGAAATGACCTCCTGCTCGTCCTGCATTCAAAATGCTCCAGAGCTTCTTATAATTGGGCCTCATGGCGCCGGTGTAGCAAGCCTAGCCTCTGCCCCCTGCCTAGACCACTGAAAATGACTGATGGCCCAGGGACCAAGGCCCATCGGTGCGGAAACAGAAGCTAACAGTCCGTGAGAGTGGAGAGTTGTGGAGGAATGCACCACAGATTCACTGCGGAAGCTACACCAATACCGAGTTCCTCCAGCTTTAGAGAAAAAGAGAGAGGCACTCTGCCCCTATGGTTTTCATTCACACTAAAGCACCACCCTATTGGACACATCATCCATTTCATTAAACCTGTTTTCGATTTTCCGCCAACATTTTAGGTTGGCCAAGGCCTTTAAGAGAGTTATGGGAGGCAGATGGATGTTGTCTAAAAGTAGAGTTGCCCTGTGACACGTCTGAAAGTAGGTTATCGTCCTGTTCTGATATTTACCTCAGTGCTTCCAGCTTGTAGAATAGGCATGATTGCTGTAATGATTAGAGTTTATTTTATTTAATGTTTTTGGGTGAGTGGTGTTGTTATGTTGTTATTGACTGCATCCATATGCATTCCAGACAATGCCGCCCCATGGGATGGTCGCCCTTCAGCCTCCCCAAGCCTGTCGGAAATAGCCCCTCCCATCGAAAGCCTTTCCATGTCATCGCCTTCATCTCATCTAGCCCCAGCCCCCGACCTTCCTCATCTGCCACCTCAGGATGTCCATCGAGACCCGGTGGCACGAGACAGCAGGACGGAGCGTTCGAAGAGCCCCCAGAAAGCCGAGCTGCTAAACCCAGACCCAATCAGCCACGCAAGGAGAGCGGCTGCGACCAGTGGGAGCAGCAGAGCTAAGAAGGAGGGTGGCAGGTCCACCCACAAGGGCCTCAGGATGCAGCCAACTCCTGATGGGGAAGGGGGCAAGGACGGGCAGAGCGGAGAGCCTAAACCTTCCAGAAGCAACAGAGGAAGGTCCAAGGAGAGAAATACTAGGGACAATAGAGAGTCCGCTCACTCTCCTAGCAGCTCTAAGCTCCCACACATTAACGGGAACAGCAGGGAAGATATAGAGCGCTGGAGTGGAGCAAAGCAGGGGGAGCTGGAGCAGAGCAAGCCAAGGCCCAGGGAACTAGAAAGGGGCCAGGGAGAGAGCTGGCCTAGCCTACCCAACAAGAGCACCAGCAGCAGCAGCATTGCAGCGGGGAGGAAGGCCACAGTCTCTCCTGGACCTTGGAAGATCCCTGGATCAGACAAGCTGCCCAGCACCCTGCGCACAGGCACGTCCACTCTGAGCAGATAACCCCGCAGCTTCAGCAGAAAACAGTGGCCACACTCATCTGAACTAAACCACCCCATCTGGATGAAAGTACCATTCTCACACCCTCCTGTGCTCCTGCATCCCCTCATCGACCTGTTCTCCCCTACAGTCAAAACCAAGAGGAGAGGGGCAGGGTGATCTGGACCACGTGTTTTTAAAGTTTTATTTATGGAACTGTATTTTAAATTATTTTGGAGAAACATATTTTACACCTACCACCTTAAGAACTGGAAAATCATCCAAGTTAACACACACACACAAAAGAAGAGCAAATAGAGTCTTTGTGTAGCGTGGTGGGAATCATTTGTGGATTAAATGAATTTTGAAGACCTCTATTTTGCTGAACTGAGGGGGGGGGTGCAAACATGCAAATATAAACAACATAGCAGGAAGTAAATGTCGGATGGATTTTTTTTATATATATCTACACAGTGGAGTCTATTTTATGAAAAGGAATGTTTAACGGATGTTTTTGAGGAGAGTGAATGGATCAAAGAGCGACCGCAGAAATGAAATCGACTCATCAGCAGAAACTTTGCCTTAACAGAGACTGTATTGGGCCTGAACCTGTCTTGAATAATCTATCAGATGATTATAGACATAGATATATTATAACGAATATGAATATGTGGGAACATTTTGTAAATAAGATCATCTTTAAGTGAACATATAGAAATTCTAGTCTACAAATAAATGAGCGAAGCAGCACGACATGCCCCGGATCTTTAGGTAGCTCCTTGTTCCTGCACACTCCTGTTCCGCCCTGCGATCACAGGTCAGGGTCTCAGCAAGCCTGCTGCGATCGACTGCACGGCCTGTTTGAATCACTCGGGCTTCAGTGGGAGTGTCTCTTCAATCTATTTTCCTTTCTTCTGTGCTTAACGATCAAAGCAATCTGCGACAGCGGTGTCCTGTCGGACACTGAGAGAAGGAGCTTGCGTGATACCAACGAAGGGGCAGAGTGCCTTAGACTGAGGACAAAAGGTTCAACCGCGAAAATACTGCAGAGGGTTCAACAGAGGCTGCTATACAACACCCACTCTACAGATATAAATATAAACTGCATTTCTTTAGTGTGACACGGTGAAATATATAATTTATTTCACAAGCTTATGTATGAAAATGAGTCCATTAGCGGAGGTATCCACGGTCCCTTTTTATTTGTGGTTCATCTCGGGTCATGATGCTTTTCATTACTGATTTCTTAATGAGGTCTGACACCAGTAATTTCCATGAAGAATTGCTTATATGAGATTTTGTAATCAAATGTCGCCACATGGCAGACAGAGCTTTGCACCCTAAACCAAACCAAATTAATAAAATCTGATATTAATTCAGTAGAGAATCAATCTCACCTTCTCAGAAGCTCGCTTGCGTAACAATCTGCATCTCGGAGGAAGGACTGAATGCTCATGTGAACGTGACACTTTGTCAGCTGCTGAATTAAATTTATTTTAAGAGATTCTGTCTACACTGTGTGATATTGAGACATATATATCCATGCCAAAGCTCTTTTGAGGGTTCCTGTTTTGTTTTTTTTAAGCATTCCTGCCCAAGAATCTGACTGACTTTGAAGTCAACGCTTGTATTTCTATACATCAAGCTCGTAACTAGCTAAGCCCTGCCGCCTTTGGTAACTGCCACAGTTCCTGTCAAGCTTTCTATTCTTGCACAATGTTTGATAAAACGGTGACGCTAAGACTTCAAACGGCGCGTTCTTGATTACAGGCAGAGGTACTTGAAAGCAGCTTGACATTTAATGTCACAGGAGGGAAAGATTTTTAGGATGAAGACTGTCAGGTGAAGTTGGACAAAATGTCTCATCTGTCTCAGATAGCATTGCCTGAGGTTGCTGGAACATAAACTACACAAAAGTACAAAAGTTACGCTGATACTAATAAAGAGCGTTGGGGAAACTTAATTGAATTAGTAATTTTACAAACCAAACCTGTAAAAAGACAGAAGAGGTAACCTAGTAACCTTTGCAGCGCAGAGTCTTATAAATGCACAGCGTGCAATGCTGCTCCTTTATGTTTGCTGACTGTCTCGGTTTTCATATAAGGTGCAATGATGAGTAAGAAAAGAATAAAATTTGATAAAAGTCAGTTCATTTTTTTTACACAGTATTAATATTACTAAAATGTTTCAAAAGAAAAAGCTACTGTATTGAGGTCAAATATGCATATGCTATATGTGTGTGTAAAAAGCTGTTTGCTAGCCTGTTAGCCACAACAGCTAAGTCATAATACCAGTATGTCAGTGTTATGTTCAGATAGCTGCACACTCATAAAGTGGCCAGAAAAAAATGTAATGGAGTCTAAAAATAAGCAACGGTAGCTGGTATTCAGTAGATTACAGTAAAAAAAAGCTAAAAAGAAGTCCCCTCTTTCCTTTTGACAATAAAAACATCTTGGTTTATTTCCAGACTGCAATAAATTCCCGTTTTAAATTGTGCATGCATAAAAGTGTCATCCACACTTTTATAGTCTGGAGAGGTGTTAAGTGTGGGTCTTGAATGTGAGCCTAGTGCGCAGCCAAAGCCGTCGCTGTTTATAACAATCAACAGTTTTATTTTTCATTGTAAGTTATAACTAAAGTAGGACTAACGTTAATCCTAATTTTGAGTTAATAAGTTAATAAAACCTCAAGATACCTCCATCAAAATATTTAGAAAAGACCTTTGAATTAAAAACTCCGTAATACTAAATGAAACAGAAAAGCCCTACAAAATAACCAAAATCCCTGTGATGAACCCACAGACTGTGACAGAAAAATGGGTGGGACTATTTCATTGCATTTATGGAACATTTATTTGTAGTTTCTGTAGTGAAAAACCCAAATATATGGCAAAATAATAATTGGATTACATGAATCACTGCATCCAAACATATGAAGTTCAACTGCCAGCAAGCTATAATAATAAAATAATGTTAAAAAATACTAATTTAGTTACATGTAGTTCTCTGTTCCCCAACACTGTAAGTCACCTTGCAAAGGATTACAGATAAAGCATTGATTTCTTTTGCTATTGTTTTTAGTTTTGAGGCTAAATAACTGCGCAGAGATATCACCCACCCTTAAACGTGCCAAACAGTAAGCACACCACACAGACAAGCGCATGAATCCAAAGCTTGACAGGGCTGCAGTGCATTCTTTGAGTCACTAAAATGGGACTGAATGGCTGTTGTATGGGAGGAATCTAGCAAACGGTTAATTTTGAGTATTTTTCTCTGAATGAGAATCAGAGAGCCTAAGAAAAAAAACAAAAAACCTCCTTTCCTTCTTCTGCTGAGGGACATACTGATAGTGTTTGAGTGAGCAGAGGGACACAAGTCATTATGTTTGCCGTTGTAATCCGTAATTACACACGCACTAAGCAGACTGACTTAAAAACACAATCCAACACAGAGGGTTTGAAATGGGAGGAATGGAGGAATCACCAGCCGGGAGCAAACAATTGAGCGTTTCAGTCACTTGTAAAATGCCTCAGTTACACGCCGTCACATCACACCCATTTAGTTGGACTGCTCCTTTATTTTGTGACTTCAGATTTGAGCAGAAGCAGGGAAACGTGTGTCTTTTTTTGCTCTGCCTTTGCACAAATCACTGCTTTCCACATCTGAGCTGTCTCCATCGAGTCAAACTGTAAGTAGTTTTCTAGGGAAATTTAAAAAGAAAAAAAACCTAGGGGTGTGTTAAAGTGTGTGTTTGAGAACAACAAAGACACGCTTTCGCACCACAATATAAACCCCGACAACCTGAGCGGCTCGGTATCACTGTGTAGTGTAATAGCAGTGTGTAGACCCTGAACAAATATCTCTATAAATATGACTCGGTGTACTATTGATGGTCACAAAGACTGTAAGTGGAGCAACTATTTTTATGAAATGCAACACTATGAATATATTAACTTTTGCAAAAATCTTGTTTACCTGTATGATATTCTGAAACGCTGTCAAAATAAACAAAACTCTTGACACAAGATGGGAAATTTCTTAGGATGTGCCGCTGTGTGAGTCCTTGTGGATGTATGGATGCTGGTTTTGTTTGCTCTGTTATGGCTGCAGAGGTTGCCAAATGCAAGATTTGATTAATCAACAAATAACTTTCATATGTAAAATATTTTTAAAAATTGCCCAAAAAGGAGATAATGCATAAACCAAACCACTAAATAAAGGATAAAGTAGATATGAAGAGTATAAGAGATTCCGCTTTGCCTTAATTCTTAATGGCATGAATTCAACAAGGTGCTGAAAAGGTTCCTCAGAGATTTTGGTCCATGTTGACATGAAAGCATCACACAGTTGAATCTCCTGTTGCATCACATCCCAAAGGTGCCCTATCAGATTCACATCTGGTAACTATACAGGCAATTTGAGTACAATGAACTCATCACGTCATGTTCAAGAAACCATCCTCTGCACCATTACGTCAGTACTGCCAGCCTGAACAGCTGATACAAGCCAAGATGTTTTCCCTGTTTTTGTGTTGTTTACCCAAAATTCTCATCCTTCATCCAAATGTACCGTCTGAAATTCAAACCTGGATCAGGAAAGATTTTTCCAATCTTGCCAATTGTAGCTTGATTTCTTGTTCACCTGGTGTGATCTTCTGCTGTGGTATCCAATCTGCTTCGAGGCTCAATGTACCTTTGCTGTAATGAGTGGTTATGTGAGCTGAACTTTAGCAGGTCATCTTGACCACGTCTGCAGGACTAAATGAACTGATTTATTGCCATGTGACTGGTTGAATAGATGTTGTTAATGATCACCTGAACTTACTACTAAATACACAGTGCTGAGCCCATCAGTTTACCAGAACACAAGTTCGCATGTGGAAATGTTCTTTAAAAAAAAGAAGCTACATTTTCAATGAAAAAGCTGCAGTTAGTGAATTTAAAGTAAACTATTTGAGTCTGCCCTGGTCTAAATCAGCTGACTAAGTGATTTATTACATCGAGTTCCAACTCAAACTGTAAATATAAAACAGCAGTTACTACCTTCACAGCTCTATCTGATACACATTAAAATTGTAACTTTGCAGTCTGCTATAAACCATGTATTCATTGTTTGTGTATCATTCATAAATTATTTAAGCAAACTGTTTTGTATTGATTTGCTCTATATTCTGCAGTCTGCCTCTGCTCAACTCTTGCCTATGAAGTGTCTCAGTTTGGCCACATGGAGGCGTCTGGTAACCAGATTGTAATCTAACAACAAAACTACCAAAGGAAATAGTCTGGTGTTAATGGTTTTAACTGTTCAGTCGCATGCTAATATTTTTGTTTTTTTTAATTAGTGATTTCCTTTCATATGCTGGAGAAAAAATGAAATGGAATCTGCTCCTTCTGTTCCCCGTGTGCACACTTGTCGTGTCTTCACTAGAGGTCAGTGTAGGCCAAGCTTTCATTTTAAATGCTGTTTGGTTTCATAATTGTAATAACTTACATAAAGTTATTAGTCAGACATCTCCTCTTATAAAATGTTTAGAGGATTTTATCACCCAGTGGGATATTATAGTTTCATAAACGACTGTCTGTCACATCATGTACCACATTCTTGGCTCAGGACAGCATTTTATGGTTTCATAAAAGCCCTACACATCTTAAAACATGCACATGCACAATATTTCACTCTCATAGCTTTGCACTTTGATGTCCAAGGTATAATAATGTCACAAAAAAGTCATACTTTGGTTAATAGGGTGTCTCCAATGCATATATAGATCTTTGCATCGTGCAGGCAGGAAGAGTGTGAGATGATGCACCGCAGGGGCGGAACAATGAGCTCTCCTGCGGAGACAACGTTGGTCGGGTCTTCCTGCTGCCAGCTGGAGGCCTCTGGCTGGTGTGTGTATTCACCGCAGGAGCAAATCAATCCAGAGCTGTAGTCGTGTCTCGGCCGGGAAAACAACAAGCTTAGCACAGACCTTAACAGCCTGCTCAGCTCCATCTAAGGAGGAGGATAGAGATGAAAGACTTCCTTTTAAATGCTTTTCAAACAGTACTTAAAGTGGACCCATTAAGCATTCATTCCAACTCCATATTATTATTTTCTAAGACTATTTTTCAATGATTTACAGTTCAGAAAAACTCTACAGTTCATCCTATCTAAGAAGAGCTGCTTTAGAGCAAATTAATGACTTTTTTAAGGGAAAATAAACAAGCAAGACTTTACTGATGCTGGGCCTTCAATGAAATTCAGTGATTTTTGTTTTGTTTTTTTGTTAATAGTAAAAAAACAAACAAACATGGGATGTGGGGTATGAACATTTTTCAGCTTCCAAGGTGAGACATGCTGTTATAAGCCAGCTCTCCTCTAATTGGCTACCACACACAAACAAAAGGTCTGAACAGCAAGTAGGTGGAGCTTCAGAGCTTTGCGCTTCAGATTACCATATAAGGGCTATCCTCTCTCTCTGACATCATACAGAGCCAAGAGTAGAGAAAGCCATCTGAAGCTGGAGCTTTTGATTCAATAGGATTATGTCTCCATGCGCAGACCTCATTATTTGACATTTTGGCTCTATTTAATGTGAGCTTCCACCTTTACAACAATGCATGTATAACAGAAAATAATAGAGCAAGAAGGTCCTCTATTCAAAAGCCTTCTGAGTCCTGGGTGCGTGCACGTTCTTCCTCTGTTTAGTCACTGAGATAATCTGTGATGCTAAACTTACCACAGATGTCAGGTAGATAAAGTGTTTACAGTGCATAGACTAGAGCACCATCCAAATGCATTTACCTATGATTGCATGGGCAAATGTGTTTTATAGTGCTTTGATTGGTAGTAAGAAAAGAAAAGTGCCATTCAATTTCCTTTTAAAGGAAATCCCATCCATTTATACATGGTTAGGCTCAAATCACAGTAGAACACCTAAATTGTATAAGAAGATAATTTCATGAGTTGAAATTGTTCATTTAAAATGTGCGCGTGCACACACACACACACACATACACACTAGTAACACTATGCCTCACAGACTTGGATCTCTACATGATGCCTTAATGGTATCTTTAAAACACACACTAATGCAGTTGCCAGCAGGCATGAGTCAGATATCTGCAGCAGTAGTATTTGATGGATGTCTCCGTTGTTCTCCAATCTTTCTGTATCTTCTCACCAGTATTAAATATACTGCCGGTAAAATGACTGCAGTGCAATGATAAGTCAAAAGGACTTTGTCCCTCATTAGAAGTCAGGGTTTCAGGGTGTGGCTCTCAGATTGTTTCACTATAGCCCTGAGCGTCCTAATTGATACTTAGCTGGGAGGTGTGTCAGTAATTGTTTTGGTACCTAAAAGCAAGTTATTCCTCATTTCACAGTATTCACAGAGCTCTATGTGAGAGAAGCTGTGAAGCCTTCCAAAACAGAAAAGGTCTATTCCTTCCCTCCCTTAAGTGGACAGATTTTCAGAGAGTTGCAAGAAAAATAATGAAGTCATTTTAGAAAGGGAAAAAAGATGGAAAGTTCTGTGTGTGCATTATTTCATGCAATCCACCAGCACCATCTGTAAAATGTGTTTAAACCACAGCTTTATATATTGAACATCAGCAAAAATTGACTGCTGAGATCTAAACGATATGTTGCATAACCGGGATAATCTATAGAAAAGGGCTGAGGCAGAAGAAGGCTGTTGTGTTTTGTATCCCTGTTATCAAAAAGGAGAGACTGTCCTGTTACAGCCAGCTCAGCCGACACATATCCTGCCAGCGTGTGAGAGCCACTTCGAGGTTTGTGGGTCAAAGCCCAGTTTGCAGCCATTCTCTTTATGAATCCCGACACAGTGGTTTTAAGTGGATTTGACTTCACATCGTGAGGAGACACATTAGGGACAAGGGTTCCACTGAATGGAGGTTTCCACTCACAAGCGTACACATGTTCGTGCATACCATACATTCTCATGAGCCAGACCTATTCAGTGTCATAACACGAGTCACATCATCCTGCATAATACTCCAAGATGTAGGATAGGAAATGACAGTATCAGCTGGAGCTTTAAGTATCTTGCTGTGAGAGGTATTTCAGTATTGAGTGGTCTTTTGGTCAGAAGATCACATACACTCACAATGGGCGTGAATATGATGGTAAGTTTGGAGTTTTTATTTGAACTGTTCTTTAACGAGTTTAAAAAACGAAAAAATTGGTTCGACAAGTTTGAATTTACTTTGGTTTTTCTGTCATCGACACATTGTCCAAAGTATACATACATGCTCAAATACATGTCTACACCCCCGTTAATATTAATGAAATCTCCATTACCAAGTTACACCTCAAACAGATGCTTTCGGTTGCCATCAACAAGGTTCTGGGATAGTTCTGGCTGGATATTTGACCGCTCTTCTTGGCAAAATAACTGGAGTTCATTTAGTCAGTTAGTTGGTTTTCTGGCACACACCTGAAACTTTTAAGCATAGTCCATAAATTTCCGGATTAAAATTTAGGACTGAGGTTGGGACTTTGAGAAGGTCATTCCAGAAGCTTCATGTTATCTTGCTTTATCCATTCCAAAACCAGTTTTGGAATGTGTTGGCATCATTCTCCTACTGGAAAACCCACTTGAGGCCAATTTTCAACCATCTAGCCCAGGAGTCCCCAATCCCAGTCCATGAGGGCCGGTGTCCCTGCAAGTTTTAGATCTCATCCTGGGTCAACACACCTGAATCACATGATTA